AATATGATTCAAAGCTCACCTTGTATTCAAGAACCGTTTCAGGACCGCATGAATCCGCTCACTCCACCGGGGTGGCCTCGAGCGGAGCCGTTCCAGGGACTGTGTTACTGCGGTCTTGCTGGTGAGCTCCTGTGTCAGTGCGTTCTTTGGATCTCTATGCTGCCTTTTCAGACTAGATTTTGCTTAGGAATAGCAAAAAGAGCTCAGGGTTGACATACAAGGGAATAAATTAATCTTTCGCTGAGAAATATTAGAATAGCTTACTTTAAAACAATAAAGAAGTCATTTAATTGGAACCTTCTCTGAGGCCAAGTCTCCTGTGTCTTCAAGAGGCTTCCGCACTGGTAGATCTGAACATCCGTGGCATCCAAATAGGACTTTAAACTAGGTCAGGAGATGTATTTTCTGAGGCAAAACTTTCCGTTATTTTCAGCGAGTTACTTTCACAGAAACCAGTTTGACACAATGGTTTCATTTTTGCAAACTGGTTGATGTTGGATGATGTTACTGATCTGTTTATCTATTTGTTATTAAAAAGCACTCAGTAAACACGGGAACATGGCACTCTGTCTAATGTGAGGTACGCAAGGGGAAATAGAAGCTGTGATGCCTGCCTCTGTGGAATTGTTGTTGTTGTTGTTGTTGTTGTTGTTGTTGTTGTTGTTGAGAGGGAGTCGCTCTATTGCCCAGGTTGGAGTGCAATGGCTCGATCTTGGCTCACCGCAACCTCCGCCTCCCGGGTTCAAGCAATTCTCCTGCCTCAGCCTCCCAAGTAGCTGGGATTATAGGTGTGTGCCACTGCACCCGGCTAATTTTTGAATTTTTAGCAGAGACAGGCGGTCAAGATGCAAAGCCAGTGGCGGGCACCTGCTTACTAACTGGGTACAGAGTGGAAGTCGTGAGGAAAAGCTACACGTTTCCTTCCCGTTGCCTTTTCCACTGCATTTTACTCTCCCTAACACCATTCATAGCTTTCACAGATTGAAGATCCTAGACACAAATTGGGGCAACTGCCTGGTCTACAGGGATTTCCTCAACGCCTCTGTCTCTGTTTGAAAGGTGGGCATGTGACCCAGCTAAAGGTAGCCATGGTGCATCCGGTCTCCGGCCGCAGTGCGGAGCAGAGAGGTGAGCACGCATTTCAGATGAGGCTCCTCAAAGACCTCAGGGTCTGCTGAATTAAGAGACGTCCGTTCCTCTCTACCTGTGAAGCTGTTGAGACGCGGGTCTGGAGCGGCTGGGACCACGGTGGCAGGTTTGTGGATGGCTAGGACGAAGCCAACACACCCAGGGGACCGGTAGGCCCTCCCAGCTCCCACACCCACCCCGCCCTCTTCTTGGCTTGTCTACACTGTTGGTAAAGGAACCCCCTGCTTTTTTTTTTTTCTTTTTCCATAAGTTCAAACTGGCTTTTATCATTTTCAACTTAACAATATTAATTAATTGTGAAGGCCAACAAATGCTGAACATTTTACACATACTCTCATTTAATCCTCACTAAAAAAACCTCTTAGGTTGATACTATTAAGTCCATTTTACAGATAAAGCAATGAAAATGCCAGGAGATTATACACACATCTTTATTAATTTTTGTTATTATTGATAACGTTCTTTCCTTTTTTTACTACAGAGCTTTAAAAAAAAAAATTTTTTTTCAAGTTAAATTCCTTCATTCAAACTGTCTCAACATCTTTTGCTGCCCTTAGGAGTTTTTTTAAATTCCCCCTGTTTTTTCACAAGTCCCTTCTAAATCAGCCTCGTTTTCTCATTCATTCAACATAACATATATGGAGCAACGAAGATCAGCCAGGCCTCGCGCTAGACTCACTGTACAGCAGCCAGCGAAACAGACACACTCGCCATCTGCTCAAAGTTCCAAGTTCAGTCGGAAGGAGGATGACCCGGCAGCTTTACTTACAACCCAGGTTTCTGTGAACTGTGGAGATAGGACACGGTGCCGTGGAAGCCCAGGACGCATGTGCTTTCTCCACTCTGGAAGCAAAGACCCGTGCACCATCTGAAAGACACCCTTCTTTTCGTCCTTTACGATTTGTCTCTTACGATTACTTTTTATTATCTATTTCACACCATGTATGGTTTTTGTCCTTGCGGGTCTTCTACTTATCGCTTTTAGACCTGAGTGGTTTAGTTTAGCTGAGTCTAACAAGCATTTATGGAACATCTACTACGTGTTGGGAACTTAGGGAGAAACTGATAGACTCTTGAGGCGACAGAAGCTACACAGAGCCTCTGGTGGAGTCTGGAAGCTTCTGCTGCCCATCACCCAGGACGTTGGGGAAGCCCAGGTCAGGGGTCCTCCCCGACATGGCACCCCATGGCTGTCTCTGGTGCTTCCCCTTCTCCTTTTCCGCTTCCCTGGATCCATCTTCTGTTGCATTTCCCATCGGATTTCCATCCCCCGTGAACTCTCTTCGTCGTCACACCTGCAGAGCTGCCTCTCTCTACATTCCCTAATCCCACCATTATTACCACTGAAATGAGGACTATGAAAATAAACAAAGTGGTTGGATTTATCCTATTTTTTTAGCAAGCATCAAAAATGCATTTAGGCCAACAAGAACCAAAGTTCACAAAACAGGAAATTTGATTGCGTCAAACTGAAAAAAAAACCCTCCACCGACATCCCACTGTCCAGCTTCCTATTGGCTTCATGCCTTCGGTTGCATTCTGCATGTTCCCCACATTCATTTCATTCACGCCATTGCTTTTGTTTTTGAGGTTCCATTGTCTCTAAATCTCTCCTGACAATAGGATGGGGGTGGCATGAATGAATGAATGAAGTACTGAATAGGATATTTGGGCTATGTAAGAAGGGATTAAGAGGGTAGAAAATCAACTTTGCCCTATTTCTTCTGCCACTCATTTATTTCGCTCTGTCCTTGGCCTCTGTGAGTTCTGCTCCTCCTGAGTTTCCATTGTCTGCTTAGGTTTTCTCCCTTTCCCGCAGGCTCCTGCTGACTCTGTGTGGTTGCTTCTGAGACAAGAGTTGCTGACTCTCCCAATCTACACTGTAACCAGCCAGGGAGAAAGCACAGCTCATTTTAATGCAGTTCATTTAGTCTACATAACCTTGGCTTCCCCATTACACTCTCCCTGGTATGTAAAACATGTAAGAGCTGAGATAAGACTTTTAAAATATTAACATAATCCAGGCCTCAACACAACATAATCCAATGGAAATAATATTTATAGCAACAGCGCCCCCAGGTTCAGAAGCCACGGCTGAAATGTTATTATTGTGCAGTGGAAATCTGCAGCCTTCCCACTATGGAATCAAAACATGAGCTTGAACTAAATTATACTCTGTTTTTCTCAAACCTCAAGGACAGCCTAATCACCCTGCAATGCATAAGCAATTCACTTTTTTTATTTTATGAAAATAAAACTGCGAGCTTTAAACTGAAAGTATGACAGCCAAAAAAAATTTTTTTTTATTTATGCTTTCGTTCAACAGAAGGCTCATGTCTTTACTTCAGTTCCCTGGGCACTGCCAACTATGCAGTGTGAAGGTGATATCAGACGGCATGGAAATCTTCTAAGCCAGGTCATTTTCTTTGTATCCTATTGGAAATTAAATTATTCTAGTAGTCAGAAGTTTAAGCAGAGAATGTAGAAGGAAAGCGGGAAGTGGGAGGAAGAGGAAGAAGAAGGAGAGGAGGAAGGAGGGAGTAGGAAAAGGAAGGGAGATCAAAGAAAAAGAGGCAGAGAGGAGTTGGTTGAATAAGAGAAATGAAAGAATTCCTCAAACAATAGGACTGGGGGGCAGGCAGGATGCAGTTGGTTTGGAAACTGTTCTGAAATATTTTTCCTTCGGGTCAAATGGAGCAGCTGCTATATGGAGCAAGGGAAATCCCAACAGCTTATGTGATGTGAAGTGCTGAGGGAATCAGAGAACCTGAGCGGGGAAGGCGATGTGAGCTTACTGAGCCCAGCTACCCACTTCATCTGTGAGTCTTCCCGCGTCCGGTCTCCTCACAGATCTGGAGTTTTAATCATGGTGTTCACTTCTCTTTCTAGTTTTTGGAAGTGGATTTTTAACCTCTTCCAGGATTTCGTCTTTCCTGGGTGTTCGTGATAACTTTGTTCTCTGATGTCCAGGATATTCGGTATTACCTATTTTCCCTAATTCCTACTTGTCCTGTACTTTTTCAAATGTCAGCTCCCCAAATTGTCACCCTCTTCCTTAAGGCGGCTTGCTCTGAGCTCAGCGTCCGCATTTTCCCACATCCTGGAAAGCACAGTAGTTCCTGTTCCAATCATGGCAATGACTTACTCAGTAAAGGTGAGCACCCTGGTACTCACCCTGTGTCTGGAAGGCAGTGCCAAGGTGAATCGTTCTAAACAATCACTAGAAGTCGCAGGGATTGCCCCAACCACGATGCTGGAGAAATGCCCAGAACTCACCCGGCTAAAGAATCAACTTGCCTCCTCCACCTCTCCTCCCAGATTCCATCGAAAGCCAAGACTTTTCTTGGCTGGCATCTCCAAGATATTAGTCAGTGTCATTTAATCTTAAGGAGAACGTCCAGGGCGCCTCACTGATCATAAGGAAATCAGAAGCAGAAGTGGATCTGCTGGCCCTTCTGTGCCTAGTCAGGCCACAGGACAGGTCTCCCTGGAATGGTAGCATGACCAAGAGGCCAGTCAGGCTCTGGGTTCAGACCTCTTGGGATCGAATCCAAGTGCTGCCACTGCCTAGCAAGGTGACCCGGCAAGCTACTCAAACACCCTCGGCTTTCATTACTCCATATGTAAAGGGTTTGAAAGAGTGTCTGGCAGGCACATGACAGGTGATTAATAAATGCTGGCTGTTTTTATCATCACCACCTTCATCATCTGTGGGTTAGATTATGACCTGAGTTAAAAGAATAATTAAGCCATGCATTTAGTTCTGCCAAATATTATTAACATAATATTGTTATGTTATAATACTATAACAATATAATAATCATATATATTATGTAATAATAAAATATAATAATACTAATCATAATATTATTAACATAACAAATAATTATTAACATAAACTCGCAGTCGTGCAGCATGCCTGTGTGCCTATGTGCCCAGCACTGTGATAAGGGCACAGCGGGCATCAGTGGCATTTAATATTTTCAGCAATGTTGCAAGGTGGGACCACATTGTGGAAATAGAGATTGAGAGAGTCATGAACTACTCAAGGTCACCTAGCTAATAAGAAGAGAGGCCATTGATTCACCCCAGTTCTCGGACCCCACACCCATGTTTAACCCACTGTCAGCGGCTGCGTTCCTGTGCAACAGCTTGTGTGAAAGCCAGCCTCAACACTTCAGGTGTGAAATGACATCAGCAGGGATCAAATCGTATGTGGGGCTTTTGCATGCCTGTACTTGTGTGTGCTTATTTGCTTCCTTAAATTGGATTTATCAGTTAGAAAAAGAAAATTCAGTCATTTCTCTCTCAAACACTGGTCCAGACCTATAAGACAGAGATGGCTGGAAGGCCCTGTACAAAGCACTGCATGCCAGTGAAATTACCCCCAAAGGGAAAATGGATCACGTGCTTTGAGTCCCTGCCCCTTATCCTTCCTCGCTGGTTCCCAACTTGGCTCTCCTATGCAAGACTTACTTGTTCTGGCTGTTAGATCTGTTCTCAAACAACGAATTCCACCTCCATCCTTCACTTTTCACCTGAGTTATTCAGAACATCATTGGCGATGTTCAGTCACAGGGAGACTGAGAGTTTGTACGAGGGGAAAAATGTTTTTTTAAAAAAGTGGAATTAACACAGGGAAAAGCCATTGCGTGAAGATGTTATGTCCCTTGGAATCTGTGGGAGATCAGTGCCAGGACCTCCAAGGGTGTGCAGGTTGCTGATGTAAACTGGGGTTGTGTTTGCACATAACCCACACACATCCTCCCAATGCTTTAAATCATCTCCAGATGACTTACAATACCGAAGACAATGTAAACGCTAGGTAAATAGTTGCTGTACTGTATTCTTTTTAATTTCTATTATTTTTATTGTTGTACTGTTATTTTTTATTGTTTTCTTTTATATATTTCCTACCCATGGTTAGTTGAATGAGTGGAGGCAGAGCCCGCAAATACAGAGGCTGACTGCTGTAACAGGTACCAAAAACTTAGAGGCTTAAAGCAACACAAAGTTATTTCTTGTAGATCTGGAAGTTAGGAGTCCAAAATGGGCCGTGGTGGGCTAGCATCAAGGTGCCTGCAGGACTGCATGCATCCTGGAGGCTCTGGGGAGAACCCATATCCTTGTTTCTCAGCTCTAGAGGTTGCTGCACTCCTTGGCTTGTGGCCCCTTCCAGCCACATTCACATCACTGCAACCTCTGCTCCCATTGCTCCTGTCGACTGGACTGCAGAGAAGTGTGCTTCCACCCTTCCTGGGAAACATCTGGATGACTTTTTTCCAGCCAGCACCTAATGTCTCTAAGAACCTGGATTGTCCCCTGGAATATTCTGGATGTGGTATCTTGGGTATGTCTGCCTTCTGTGTTAAGCTTAGCATCCCTAGAGTCTGAGACTGGCTTCAAGCCCTCATAAATAGATTCCCTCTCTGCCCTATAAAAGCGCTGGGCTGCTTCTGGGATTCTACGCCTATCTCCTCCAGACTTCTGCAGGCTGTACGGTGCTGGCCACACAGCCCTGCCCTGTGGCTGGCTCTGTTGCTGGAGGCCGAGCCTGTTGGAGGCACACTGCGGACCACACAGGGACTGACCATCATCTCGTTGCGCCCACTGGTACCCAGGCCCATGCACCCGCCGTGGCACTGCTGCACCTCAAGAACTGATCTCTGCAGCGCATACCCCCAGGTAGGCACCTCAGAACTGGCTGGGGTTTCTCTCTGTGTCTGGAAAGCTCTTTGCCTTTCACCCTGTCCCCTTACGTCCTACCTTCTCATCTTCCTTGCAGTTTCTGCCCATACTCTGAAAAAGCAAAACACCCAAACATTGGACCCACCAAGTAGTTTGTGTGTGTTTGTTTTTTGAGACAGTCTTGCTCTGTCACCCAGGCTGGTGTGCAGTGATGAAATCTCGGCTCACTGTAATCTCCACCTCCCGAGTTCAAGCGATTCCCCGGCCTCAGCCTCCCTAGTAGCTGGGACTACAGGCATGCGCCACCACGCCCGGCTAATTTTTTGTACTTTAGCAGAAACAGGGTTTCACCGTGTTGGCCAGGATGGTCTTGATCTCCTGACTTCGTGATCCACCCACCTCAGCCTCCCAAAGTGCTGGGATTACAGGCGTGAGCCACCGCGCCCGGCTGACTCACCGAGTAGTTTTAAGAAATGGTTTTCACTTCAGCATCAAAGGTATTTAGGACCAGACTGTTTTAGACATCACCCCAGTGGAAAGGGGCAGCTGTCGCCTTTCAGACAGGACCACGACGCTAAGGGTCCATGAACCATCGGCAAAGGGAAGCTGGCCGCCATTTTCCTTTCTAGAAGGTGTTTGGTTACATTTAGCTTCGTCACTCGCACACCCTAGGAAAAGTCTTCAGAAACAGCATATAAGGCCAAGTCCCCCAGCTAGGGAGGAAGAGGGAGAGACCTTTGTGGCTGGCCCCCTTGGGAGAAGAAAGCGCAGATCCAGGGCCACCGGGCCCTGCCCTCCCGGCCTCCCTTCGTGCCTGCCTTGGCCGTTCCAAGCATGCTGACAGCCATAAAAAATCAGGCCTGTTAGCAACAGGAAAGATCACAGGCCCGGATTCCTGTTGAGCTCCTCCAACAACAGCTGCCATCTGGCTCCCCATCACAGCGAAGGCAGGCTCTGATTTATGGAGAGGCGCAGGTCAGGGAGAGGGCCACGTGCATTGCCCTTTCCCCCGCAAACACCCCAGTGGGCGGGGGCCCAGGGGAGGGCCATTGCGGGTCATCAATAAATCCTGGGGATAAAACAATGCAGAGGTTATTAAAGGGAGCCGAGAGGGGACGGATGCGAGTTATTCCAATTACAGGCACGGTTATCTTCCCCTGTGCAGTTCAAAGTGTATGCGCCCTAATGCATTTCAGCAGCTAATAAAAGTACTGTAGGGTTTCTTTTTTTCTCTCTCTCTCTCTTTTTCTTCTTTTTTTGAAACCCATAGTGCTTATAAATTACAGGGTAGAGGGGTGTGAAAGATACATAGCAGCTTTGAAGCAGCACTGACAACCTCAAACTAATTGATCATAAAAGGAAGTCAACTGCAATAGATGATGAACCATTTATCTAGGCAAAAATAGCCAAGGTTTTCCCTATGGGGATGGGAATGTAAAAAAAAAAAATACTAAACTAAAATGAGGGGAGGGCTATGGGGAACAAATGTAACGCTTTGAGCCCTTCAGTTGCAGGCACTAAAAGTGGAGGCCTTGCGGATGTGACTGTGGCTTTGCGGTGGAAGACCAGGACAGGAGCGCTCCTTCCATAAACACACAGGAAGTCCAGACCACTGTGGTCAGCCTGCAGGCAAGAATGCTCTCAAAGCTGATCAAAAGCTTTATCTTCTACATCTTTTTCCAGATGAAAATTTCACCAGACCCCTCAATTGCTGGCCATTAAGTTCCTTTAGCTTTTATTGTGCTAAAATGGAATGGACTGGAGAGGGTAATTTAAATTGCATTGATATAGGCTAATGGAGTAGGGTAGAGAGAACCCAGACAAAGATGCAGGAAAATGATTGTGTTATGCGATATACATTAAAAGACGTGGCCACGGCCGGGCGCAGTGGTTCATGCCTGTATCCCAGCACTTTGGGAGGCCGAGGTGGGCGGATCACGAGATCAGGAGTTCAAGACCAGCCTGGCTAACAGAGTGAAACCCCGTCTCTACTAAAAATACAAACCCACCTAGAGGTGGATTTAGATGAGGCCAGTTGGAAACAAACTCAGAGGGGCACCTGCCTCCACTTTCCACCCTTTCCATTCCTCCCACCCCTTTCCATGGCTGCCGCCCCTCCTGTGCCACCGGAGTTAACCTTAATTACACATGGGAAGGCGGGTAGCATGGCTCCTGTACGTCCCATCCTGTTGCCACCAGCTCATCACTGACAGCCACTCAGGCCACAGTCCTCACCTCACATTCAAGGCCTCCGGCCTCGGGACTTGTGCTGGGAGTGACCACACTCTCACTGGCATGCGGCCGCACCTGCCCCTCCACGTCCAGCCGCGCCCGCCCCTCCGCGTCCAGCCGCGCCCGTCTGGGGTCATGATCCTTCCTCCAGATGCAGCTCACTCCTGGTCGCTGGTGCGTCCCTGTGCATGCTCAGCTGTCATCTGCTGCCACACAGAGCTGCAGTCCTGTGCTGCCTGCTCTGTGTCCTCCCTCGAGGCACGCTCTCAGGGCAGCAGACAGCCTTACTGCACGCATCTTTGTCTCCCCTAGAAGTGCTCAGTACGTGCCGCTGGCCCGTGGCTTTCATCCAAGCAGGAGGGAGGCAGAGTGAACCAGTGAAGGGAACCTGGGCAGCAGAGCCAGGAAGCGACTCGTCAGGGCCACCCAATCAACAAGTGGTAACATGGGGCTCACCGGAGGCTTCTCTGCGTCAAGGCTTTTCGTCATGAGGAGCTGTCACTTAGCATCTGTTCCCACACATTCAACCTAGAGTGCGCAGGAAGCAATTGTCCCAGAGGCAGGCTTCTGACACTTTGGAACTGGGAGGCTTTGCCTGCAAGTGTCACCTGTGGGATCTATAAGGGTGCCCATTTCAGATGATTATTGGAAGAAATTAAGTGAGATAATATGTGCAAAGTTAGGCAGATCACGAGGTCAGGAGATCAAGACCATCCTGGCTAACACGGTGAAACACCGTCACTACTAAAAATACAAAAAATTAGCCGGGCATGGTGGCGGGCACCTGTAATCCCAGTTACTGGGGAGGCTGAGGCGGGAGAATCACTTGAACCCGGGAGGCGGAGGTTGCGGTGAGCTGAGATCGCACCACTGCACTCCAGCCTGAGCAACAGAGCAAGACTCCGGTTCAAAAAAAAGATACTGTCTGACACAGAGTAAGAACTCGAAAATGTTAGCTATTATTAGTTGTTAATTACTTCTACTAATGCTCATATGCAAAATAAATGCATCTTCCCATCCAGCAATGAATATCCTCCTTTTTACTGCTACACACATCTCAGAAATAAGCATTCTATCCCCAGAGTTACAATTCCCACGCCTTCGTATTTCCATGTTTCTAATGTTCATCCCATGTGTATTTTACCCCACATGGAATGTGCTATGGAGTCCTAATTTCCAATACCCTAACCAGCAGTCCTCATGAACCATCAAAATTATTTGGAAAATACCATTTTCATTACCGAAACTGTGTCTCCCGGGCTGCCTCTTTTACCTGGGAGTGGAGATGAGAAAAAAATGTGTTTCTAAAATTTAACTCTTTTTGGCATTTGGAAATTTGAGGACACTGAGATGGAAAGCCCTGTCCGTCACCTCCCCAGCAGTCACAGAGGAGCTGGGTGTCTCCCTGACCTACCGCCCGTCCGCCTCAGCTGTGAGGTCTGAAGTCCTGCGAGGAGAGCCCAAACACATCTCCAAAGCAGCGCTGTGTGCCCCGAGCCTGGGAAAGCCCTGGTTTCTTAATACGCTCAATAAGCATTTGCTGAATGAAGGAACAAGCAAACTCAACACCTGTCCCTGGCGCAGGCACACACAGATACTCCGAGGAAGGGGGCATGGCAGACAAGGGGAGACCCCGGCTCCTAATGACCCCCCGGAGTGTCCTGAGCAGAGCCTTGGAGGGGTGTGGTTCCCAGGACGGCTTTTGACCCCTTGAGGCTCCCATCAGAAGGCAGCAGTCACCCGGGGCCTCACACTAGGGGAATCGCTGGGTGTGTGCAGCGTGGCAGAGGTGCAGACTTCAACACGCTCGCTCCATCACCCACCACAGCCAAGGTCTGTTTCTGGAGCTCTGCCACGTATCTCTTCATTATACCACAGGAAGGATTTTTTTTTTTTTTTTTTTTTAACCATTGCTGAACTGAATGCTGTTTTGTTCCCATGGTGAGAAAAGGCCTTGGCCTTGAGAGTTGGGCTGGGCAGGGGTGGAACAGCCTCCTGCCCAGGTGGATGGATCAGCCCTCAGGTGGGCTGATTCTGGGGGCTCCTCCTGCAGAGGCTTCCCTCACCCGCCCTGTTCCTTCCATCCGGTTCCAGATAACCGTGTATCTCTCAGGCGACCATGGCTGTCCTCCCCTCCTTTTGTCTTCTCTTCTCTGGAATCTGATAAGAACCGCATGAGATCATTGGAAGGCTGCCCTCCCCAGGTGCACATCACCTAAGAAAGAGCGTTCTGACTGGCACAGCTGCCGCCACTCCCACTGCTCCTGGCGGACCAGTGACTTTGATTTATTGCCCTATGAGTAAATACTAGTAAATAAATGACAGAAATGCCTTTTCTCCTGGCGACTCCCCAGCCCCACAATAATTAACTTGTTCTTCTTTCCTCCCTCTCTTACCAACCATGAAGCAGTGCCGTTCTCTGATGAATGAGTTGCCCATGACTATCTTGCCAACAGGTGTTTCACATAAAAGATGAGCCATCCCAGGAATAGTATGAAGCGGGTGTTGAAATCTAGAAGCTCACGGGTCAGTTTGTCCCATGCAATATGATTTTAAAGGTTGGGCTTACACTGGGAAAAGCAGATTTCACATGGAAATTTATACTTCAGCCTTCTTTTGGAAACTGGAAGGTCGTCTGGAGATGGTGGGCTTCCATTCCCGCCTGGCAACAAATGCCTGGGCAGGCGCTCCCCTTCCTCTGGCTTTCTGATACCAAAGGCTGAGTATTAGTTGCTGTTTATGATTGTATTTGCTCTGTTGTTTTCTTGTACCAGAGACACATTGCTCTGCATCCATATGTTGTGAATTGAAAACAGCTGCAAATTCTTTGTCACTTCTCCCATTGAGAGGTAAAGTCAGTTCCACCTCCTCTTGAATCAGGGCTGGCCTGAAATTTGCTTTGACCAACAGAATGTAGCAGTGATGCTGGATAACTTCTGAAACTGGACCTTAAGGACCACAGTCTCTACTCCCACCTACTTGGAACACAACCTCTTAGAGCCCAGCCATCACACTGTGAGAAGGCTGAGCCACTTAGGCTACCTGGAAAGAACTGGAGCTCTTCATTCTACAATTCCAGTTGAGCTCCCAGCCAACAGCCAGCCCAGTTGTCAACCATGTAGGTGAGCCATCCTGGACACCACCAGTGGTCAGGCCTCCAGAAGACAACCCTAACTGACACCATCTGGAGCAGAAGAAACACCCAGCAGAGCCCTGCCAACCTGAGAAATGGTAAGAGGTGATCACAAATAGTAAGAGATCACGAATGGTAAGAGATCACAAATGGCTGCTGTTGCTTCATGCCACTAAGTTTTTGAGCGGTTTGTCTGGCAGCAGTAGCTAACACCTTATCTTTATCAAGGTTTGGGAAGAAAAAAAGACAGGTCAGAAGGCTACATATGTGAAGAAAAATGAAAGAAAGTAAACATTTTTGAGACCAAAGACTCCTACAGCTGAATTTGTACATAAATACTCAGCTTGCTTCAGAAATTCATACCAGTAAACCTCTAAAGATTTCATCTGAGGGCTCTGGCTCTGAAGGAACATGATCATTGATACAAGAACTCTGGAGCCACAGACCACAGCCTCCTAATGGCAAACAGTCATCAATTCTCTGGCCTTCCATTTTCCCATCTATGAAAATGGAATAACGGTATCTGCTCAGTTAATCTTCTATGAATATCGTAGGACTCAAGGAGAATTATATAACTGAATACATTTTATTAATTACAAAGGACTACAAATGCTAAGTATTGCTATTCATATAATGTGCCCAAGAATTTTTTAATACCTACAAAGAAATCTCCATAACTCTTAGGGACCCCAAAGCATAATATATTAATATTTACATTTTACATGCTAAGAGCTATTTACATTGGAATTTATTTATCCAACTGACCTTGAAGTCCATTTCTTTGGACCAGAAATAACAAAGAAGTTTCAACTCAAGTGCCAAGTCCAGTTGTGTGTACTGCCTGGAGAATTTTGTTGAGAATGATGCTGAGGCCACATCTGGGAAGGCAGAGAGGTGGCATGCCAGACATGCATCACTCTTCCAGCATTGGACAGTCTTTTTCTTTCAAGACATTTTGTTTTGTTTGGTTTTGTTTTAAAAGGGCTTTAGGATGAAATAACAAAATATGAGATAGAACACAAGAATTTGAAACCTCACTTTCTTTGCCTACTAACCACGTGACTGTAGCCAGAGACCACAGATATCTCTCTGAGCCCAGTCATATACTCTGAATCAGTGATGATGGTAATGATGATGATGATAATGATGATGATGACGATGATTATGACGATGATGATGATGAGATGATAAGATGATGATGAAGATGATATGATGATGAGATTTTATGATGAGATGACGACAATGATGACGATGATGATGATATGATGATGACAATGAGATTTGATGATGAGATGATGATGATGATGATGATATGATGATGAGATTTGATGTGAGATGATGACAACGATGACGATGATGATATGATGATGACAATGAGATTTGATGATGAGATAATGATGATGGTGATGATATGATGATGATGATGCATTTCATGAACATTTACTCCATGGGTGATATGTACTCTTTCATTCATTCCTCACGAGAACCCCTGGGAGAAGGTCTGCTTTATCATTATCCCCATTTAACATATGAGGAGTGGAGGCACATACAGAGAAAGGCCCTTGCTTTGGTGGGAAACCAGGAT